CGACCACAGTGTACTGACGTTTTTTGAGTATCTGGTTGAGGAAGGGTTATTGAACTCAAGGAGGGGTACTGAAAACAAAAAACTGGCATTCCGAAAGGGAAACTATGAGGAGTTAAGAAAATTCCTAACAGATATAACATGGTAAACAGAGCTCAGGGGAAAGACGGCCCAAGACATGTTGGACTTCATCATGCACAAGTGCAAGGAAGCAGCAAACAAACGAACAAATGTAGTGTAGTGTAGTGTAAGCAGCAAACAAGTTTGTCCCAGTCCAAAAGGAAACCAATGAAATGAAGATGAGAACCCATGGTTTAATCAGAGATGTAGGCTAGCTAAGCAGCAAAGTAAAGGGCATGGAGAAACTATAGGAATAACAGGACACTTGAGAGCAGAGAAAGATACCAGAGTGCCAGGAATGAATGTTAGGATGAGAAGAGAGGCAGAAAGACAATACGAAAATGACATCGCAAGCAAGGCAAAGACTCGACCTAAATTGCTGCTCAGCCACATCAGGGGGAAAAACAACAGTAAAGGAACAGGTAATGAATATAAGGATAGGGGCAGAAGGATTCACTACAAACGACAAGGAAGTGTGTGAGGAACTGAATAAGAAATTCCAGGAGGTCTTCACCTTAGAGCAGGGAGAGATTCCAGAAATAAGAGAGGGAATAGTTAACCAGGAACCACTGGAAGAGTTTGAGATTACCAGTGGGAAGTAAAGAAGTGTTTACTAGAGTTGGATGTGACGAAGGCTATAGGTCCAGATGGAATCTACCCTTGGATACTAAGGGAAGGAGCAGAAGCACTGGGCCTGCCACTCTCCATAACAAATCATTGGCAACAGGGGAATTGCCAGAAATTTGGAAGGCAATGTAGTTCCAATATACAAGAAAGGGGATAGGCAGGAGGCACTGAGCTACAGGCCAGTGTCCCTAACCTGCATACCATCTATCTTGAGGTTATCTTGAGATGATTTCGGGGCTTTTTTTTAGTGTCCCCGCGGCCCGGTCCTCGACCAGGCCTCCACCCCCAGGAAGCAGCCCCGTGACAGCTGACTAACACCCAGGTACCTATTTTACTGCTAGGTAACAGGGGCATAGGGTGAAAGAAACTCTGCCCATTGTTTCTCGCCGGCGCCTGGGATCGAACCCAGGACCACAGGATCACAAATCCCGCGTGCTGTCCGCTCGGCCGACCGGCTCCCAGGTCGGACCATGCAAGCTGATGGAGAAGATTGTGCGAAGAAAGCTAGTGGAACATCTGGAGCGAAAGAACTTTGTAACACAGCATCATCATGGGTTCAGAGATGGCAAGTCCTGCCTCACAGGGCTAATTGAATTCTATGACCAGGCAACAAAAATCAGGCAAGAAAGAGGGGTGGGCAGGCTGCATATTTTTGGATTGTCAAAAAGCCTTTGATACAGTACCACACAAGAGGCTAGTGAAAAAACTGGAGATGCAGGCTGGAGTGAAAGGGAAGGTACTTCGTTGGATGAGGGAATACCTAAGTAACAGAAGACGACGAGTCACTGTGATGGGTGAGGTCTCGGATTGGCATGACGTCACAAGTGGAGTCCCGCAGGGGTCAGTCCTTGGACCAATACTTTTTCTGATATATGTAAATGATCTCCCAGAGGGTATAGAATCGTTTCTCTCAATGTTTGCTGATTATGCAAAAATTATGAGGAGGATTGAAACAGGATGATAGTAGGAGGCTACGGGACGACCTAGACAGACTGAATGAATGGTCCAACAAATGGCTGCTAAAGTTTAACCCGAGTAAATCCAAAGTAATGAAACTAGGCGGTGGAAACAGGAGGCCAGACACAAGATAAAGAATAGGAGATGAAGTATTTAATGAAATGAAAAAGAGAGAGAGATCTAGGAATTGATATCACACCAAACCTGTCTCCTGAAGCCCACATAAAGAGAATTACGTCTGCGGCATATGCGAGGCTCGCTAACATCAGAACAGCCTTCAGGAACCTGTGTAAGGAATCATTTAGAATCTTGTACACCACATACATAAGACCAATCCTGGAGTATGCGGCCCCAGCATGGAGCCCGTACCTTGTCAAGCACAAGACGAAGCTGGAAAAAGTTCAGAGGTATGCCACTAGACTAGTCCCAGAACTAAGAGGCATGAGTTACGAGGAAATGCTGCAGGAAATGCACCTTACAACACTGGAAGACAGAAGAGTGAGGAAAGCTTCAGCTTACCCTTGTAGATTTTCTTGCGTGATACTGTTGATCTTGAAATGTGTAGTTCTTAAAAATTTATGTAACCTATTCTCTGGTTATCTGAATTTCTGTTTGGGTATGGCAAAGTTTGGCAGGATAACTCAAATAATCAGTTCAGTTGGCTTAGGTAAATCCTAGCTCACACAGCTTGCTTCAATGTATTTGGGAATTATACGAGTTCTTTCATTTTAATTGTAAATTATACAGCTTGCTTCACCATAATTGAGAATTATACAACTTTCTTCACCATAATTGAGTGGAGAGTTTTTCATGATTTTTAGTTTTAAAAGAAATATCAATACTAATTCCAAGTTCTGTGAAGACAGGTTTTATCTTGTTACCCAAATCAAATCAAACATTTAATTATGTCCATTTCCTTTAATATCAAATTAATTTTGCTCTATTTTATCCTATACACATTGTTACACATGCATCAGCTAGCTAGTTGCCATCTTCATTGGTATTAACGGCTATGAACTTATTCTAAGATATATTTATGTATGTACAATTTTAACTTGAAATGATTGGAAACTTATGGAATGTGGACTTGATAAGCTTCTGTGCATTTCATGCTGTGGTCATTATGTGTGTGGTAATGGGTTGCCTGCCATTAAGAGGCCTGCCATATGCAGAAACAATGGCTTGTTTCTGCATATTTGTAATGTGTTCCCTCATATTGAGCCTACCTTACCTCCTTGTAGAGTCTCACTTTTTACATTTTGTAAAGCTCCAACTTGTACTGTGAAAGCTACAATGTCCTGAAATATTTTTCCTTGAACATTTTGACTGCCACTTCCAGGCTACTGCTGCATTTACCAGCGGGATGAAACCTGCTGATGGGGTCGACTTCTCCATTATTTTTCTAGATAGGATCTCCATGTGCTGCCATTTCCCAGAGACGAGTGTTTTTACTTTGGATCTTTATACAATTTTGTATGCTCTCCAACAAATACTGCACCGTATCAGCAACTACAAAAGAACAAGCGGCTCGGGGCGCTGACTGGATCAGCGGACCCAGTGGTGGTGGCAGCGGCTCTCCTACCCGCATTCCAAGCGATGTTTACTTACCATATGCCAGCGATGTTTACTCTTGCAGTTGACACTCTTTAGTGTTGTCGTGACCCTGGAGTCTCTTAATTCTTCTCATCTTATAGTGATCAAAATCCAACATTGGCTCTTTCTCATCTTTTGTAGATTAAAGATTTGAACTTTGCTGGGCTTCCAGGTATGTTGATTTTGCCTCTGATCTTAAGGACCATCATTAAAAGAGGCTATTTGTGTCTGTCCTATTTCTCAGAAGCAAATTGCTTTCTCTGATTTCTTTTGTCATTTATAATGTGATCTACAACTGGTGCTGAGATGGTTATTATGAATAAGAAGTTGTGTACCATCAAATGTACTATCAAATATGATCTATCTCCGTGGCCCTCCTCCTGCCACCGCAACAAAAAGTGGGAAATATGTCTAATTAGTTTATGTATTGGCTACACATGATTAACTCATAAGCACTGAATGGAACAAACAATTGCACCTTATTTTCAGAAGTGCAATGTGGTCCAACATTGCACACACCTCGTAGAATGTCCTGATTTTTCAGAATGATCGGACGTTTTTTCTCACTGTTACTGTATTGTATGTTCCTCATTTACATATTTAATGAATCTGATTCCTATGACATTACTGTGTTTTTCTCGGTACTCTTTTATTAGCATCGTGGATGGTAACTAGGAAGGTTTTAATAATCTGTGACTCAGGTGGTGCTAGCCTTTCAGGTTTGCCTCTTCTTTGGATAATTACTATATATATTTTTCATAATTGCTTTGCTAATTTATCTATCTTGGAAACAACTTTTAACTTTCCAGTTTTAAACATGTAAAGACAGACTGCAGAAATTTTACTTAAGCTTAGCTGAGTGTCTTTATATCTTAAGGTGTAAGGAGGTATTGAATAATGGATGATTTTAGACTGTTAACGTGGAGAATAGTGATAATAGTGAAGGGTTCATCTAGTGGTCCTCCATGTGTGTGAATCTCATTCTGTTCATATGTACATACCTGTTTTGTTAAGGAAAATGAAAGGTGTTACGATGTTGTGTACCCATTGGTCTGTTTTACATCCTCCCTTTGAACACTAGCATTTTGTAGGGGTGCGTGAGACTATGTTCTCTGATGATGTGCACGGTAGTTGTTGAGGGGCTTGTGAAGCCCCTCTGCTGGCCAAAGGATAAAAGACAGATTAGTAGACTTATCCTCCTCTGTGGATAAGTCTTGTTGTCCACATAGCTCTCTTTCTAGTTTGACTTTACATTTGAATTGAGTAAAGTTTGTTAACATAGCCAAACAGGTGAACATTTGTGTTTATATAGTGTCAATGCCTTTGTTATGGTGCCAGAATATTTATTGATTAATCCATTTCCATCTTTGCATGTCATTTATAATTTTAATCCAATGAGGAATTTTGCTGAAAGCTTCTGCAAGAAACTCTGTGTATATCTCAACTATGCAAGGTGCCTTGTAACAAATTCTGACACCAGTGTTGGTCAGATCAGAATTAAAAAAAAACAACTTAGTTGCAGTAATGACATTCAGTGCATAGCACATTGTGCTGCTCTTCAAGGAAATTGTTTGTAAGTTTGAGTTGTCCAAGTGTATTTGTAAATACTTCTCTGGAGAGTGCATTATGTGCTATTTGCATCACTCGCCTTAATTTACTCGGCATCTTAACTTCATTTAGATTAAATGTGAAATAACAAATTTCAGACATGGTGGGATCACCTGTATCCTCTGAAGGTCAAGTGTCCCCCGTGCCTGGAGGAATGATGGGAGGCCACATGGTGAAGCCACCGGTGTCTCCCCAGCACTATGGTGGGGGAACAATGTACACAGTATCACCTCCAGCCCCCAGTCCGGGCGGACAGGGAGTCTACTATACCCAGCAGTCTCCAGTGCATGGTGGCAATCTTGGAGTACATATTGGACCTCCTTCTGGTCCCACTGTAACAAGAGTTCCTTCTCCACACCACCAGTACTATCTTAGCCCTGGTGCTCCTTCGCCATATTCTCCAGATGGTTCACTTGGTAAGTATAGATTCCAAACACCATTTGTGGAAGCACTTTTACCATTATCTACAATATCTCCTAAATACCAAGTACATACTATAATTAAGTTAAATTCAAACATTTCATTCTTGTGTTTTTTTTATTTATACTACATATATAGTAGCATACAAAATCTGCATGTTAGTCCACATTTTAGACAAATGCTAAGAAAATAAATGTTAATATTATGGCTGAAACAAATAACCCAACCCACGCATGAAATAAATTGTTCAGTGTAGGTTGGGTTATTTGCTTCAATATTTCAGTCCATCCTGGACCCTTATTAAAGTGTTGACTTCATAAGGGGTCCAGGATAGACCGAAATGATGTCGCTTTTCTCTCACAAAATTTGTGTGGGATGGATTATCTAGACTAGTGTTCTGGAATTCTAGATTTAATAAAATTTTGCCTTCATTTTGCTATTGATGTTTGACAGATGTTTGACACTTTCTTTGCAACAAATGATAGAAGACAACTTTGCACATACTGTATTTAGACATGCAAATAATAATAAAAATTATTTAGTAATACAGTACATACTGTACTTGTTTAATAATTATATAAGCATGATATACAAAACTTTGACTTGCCTTACTGAAGATCATCCTTATTCTGGTTAATTTCAATTTGGTACAGTACCTGTACCAAATGCAAATTGTAACCTGCTTGATCAACCTTGGAAATCTGAGCCTCTGATAATTTTTCTGTCAATCTCTCTCACCAAACACACCAAACTCCTCCTCTTGTGTGTGTGTGTGTTTTTTTTTTTTTTATTATTGTGAAACCATGCCAGTGCCAACCTCCATATTCCTCACCCATAATCACTTTTATATTATCACCTTAGCATTTCTTACCATGTTAATTTGTTTGATGCTGCCACCTGTGAAACAAACTGTTGTGCCGTTTATAATATAGTGTAACTGACGTAAAAACGTACCTAACAAAAATAATTTGTTAGATAATATTTATTAATTAAAATGCTCTAATTATAAAAATATTAAAGAAAAAAAGAATACTATACATAGAAAAAACATGGTTTATATATATATATATATATATATATATATATATATATATATATATATATATATATATATATATATATATATATATATATATATATATATATATATATATATATATATATATATATATATATATATATATATATATATATATATATATATATATATATATATATATATTATATATATATATATATATATATATATATATATATATATATATATATATATATATATATATATATATATATATATATATATATATATATATATATATATATATATATATATATATATATATATATATATATATATATATATATATATATATATATATTGGTGTATACTGGCAGCAGGTTTTCTTTCAAACATGTTTCATTGAATATGACCACATATTCTGTATTTATTATTTTCTGGTTTAGGGCTTCTATCCCTCTAACTATTTTCTTAGCATCAGGGCTTAATTGAAATAGGAGTTCTCCAAAACTCATTTTCGTACTTTTAAGGTGAAGAAAAGAAGTGATTTACTATAGAGTGTATTACACTTATTTGTATAATTTGCACGACGTTTCGAACCTCCATGGTTCATTCTCAAGTGAACAGATCTTACAATACTAGTTGATTTTATACCCGCATTAGGTCAGGTGATAATACAATGAAGGTGAAAACATGGGGGGATACATAAGGGATAAACATAGGGGCTGCAGAAGGCTTATTGGCCCATACGAGGCATCTCCTATCTAAACACAAAGATTAATCCAGTGTAATTGGCCTGTTATGTTGGACATTGTCTTCTGTGTTGGCATCGATATGTTCTTGTCTTGTCCTTACTCTCATGGTGGGTAGAGTAAATAGTTCCGTGATTTGGGTGTTCATGGTAGGTCGCTCTATTCTTATGTGAATTGCCTCAAGAATTTGTAATCTTCTTGAATCTTGGGTTTTGTCTATTATGCAAGTATTCTTGTTCAACATTTCTCTTGTTAGAGTAATGTCATGGGCTTGTCCATGACATTACTTGGCATTACCAAGTCATTACCATGACAAGCCATTACCATGGCTTGTCCTTGAGACAAGCCCATGACATTACTCTAACAAGAGAAATGTTGAACAAGAATACTTGCATAATAGACAAAACCCAAGATTCAAGAAGATTACAAATTCTTGAGGCAATTCACATAAGAATAGAGCGACCTACCATGAACACCCAAATCACGGAACTATTTACTCTACCCACCATGAGAGTAAGGACAAGACAAGAACATATCGATGCCAACACAGAAGACAATGTCCAACATAACAGGCCAATTACACTGGATTAATCTTTGTGTTTAGATAGGAGATGCCTCGTATGGGCCAATAAGCCTTCTGCAGCCCCTATGTTTATCCCTTATGTATCCCCCCATGTTTTCACCTTCATTGTATTATCACCTGACCTAATGCGGGTATAAAATCAACTAGTATTGTAAGATCTGTTCACTTGAGAATGAACCATGGAGGTTCGAAACGTCGTGCAAATTATACAAATAAGTGTAATACACTCTATAGTAAATCACTTCTTTTCTTCACCTTAAAAGTACGAAAATGAGTTTTGGAGAACTCCTATTTCAATTAAGCCCTGATGCTAAGAAAATAGTTAGAGGGATAGAAGCCCTATACCAGAAAATAATAAATACAGAATATGCGGTCATATTCAATGAAACATATATATATATATATATATATATATATATATATATATATATATATATATATATATATATATATATATATATATATATATATATATAATTATATAATTATATATATATATATATATATATTTATAATTATATAATTATATATATATATTATATATATATATTTTATATATTTATATATATATATATATATATATATATATATATATATATATATATATATATATATATTATATATATATTATATATATATATATATATATTATATATATATTATATATATATATATATGTCGTACCTAATAGCCAGAACACACTTCTGAGCTTACTATGCAAGGCCCGATTTGCCTAATAAGCCAAGTTTTCATGAATTAATTGTTTTTCGACAACCTAACCTACCTAACCTAACCTAACTAACTTTTATGCTACCTAACCTAACCTAACCTATAGAGATAGGTTAGGTTAGGTTAGGTAGGGTTGGTTAGGTTCGGTCATATATCTATGTTAATTTTAACTCCAATAATAATAAATTGACCTCATACATAATGAAATGGGTAGCTTTATCATTTCATAAGAAAAAAATTAGAGAAAATATATTAATTCAGTAAAACTTGGCTTATTAGGCAAATCGGGCCTTGCATAGTAGGCTGAAAAGTGCGTTCTGGCTACTAGGTACGACATATATATATATATATATATATATATATATATATATACCTAGTATAGAACTACTTCTCAGCCTATATGCATAATAAGCCAAGTTTTCATGAATAATGTTTTTTCGTAACCTACCTAACCTATAGCTATAACCTAACCTACCTATATATATAGGTTAGGTTAGGTTATAGGGTTGGTTAGGTTCGGTCATATATCTACGTTATTTTATCCATAAATAAAATACCTCATACATAGAGAAAAGGGATGCTTTATCATTTCATATTATATAAATATATTAATTCAGGAAAACTTGGCTTATTACGACATATATATATATATATATATATATATATATATATATATATATATATATATATATATATATATATATATATATATATATATATATATATATATATATATATATATATATATATATATATATATATATATATATATATATATATATATATATATATATATATATATATATATATATATATATATATATATATATATATATATATATATATATATATATATATATATATATATATATATATATATATATATATATATATATATATATATATATATATATATATATATATATATATATATATATATATATATGACAATGTCAGACCACGGAGGAAAAATGAAACAGGAAATTTCCTTAAGTACTTTCGTATATTAAATACATCTTCAGAAGGACCTTCTGAAGATGTATTTAATATACGAAAGTACTTAAGGAAATTTCCTGTTTCATTTTTCCTCCGTGGTCTGACATTGTCACATTCTTAATCACGTGTTTATTTTCGTGATATACACACATATATATATATATATATATATATATATATATATATATATATATATATATATATATATATATATATATATATATATATATATATATATATATAATATGCGGAAAATCCACAGAGAAATATGAAATGAGAAATATTAACTGGAATGGGGCAAAAAGCATTACCAATTGTGGGGATTTCGTGGAACGGAATTTGATTGAGTCTGCTCTAATCAGTCAGTGTCCAAATCTTCTTAATGTTAGTACTGGTATGTACAAACTTGATCCATTTTTAAGTTATAATATTGCACAACAGTTTAAGAAACAACTCTGATAGAGAGGCTTACAATGTCTCATTATAATTGTATATTCATTTATTGTGTGTTCATGAGGCTTTTCTTTAATCTTTCATCCTTATTCTCTGACCGCTTAATCCTCTTTGACCATTCTAAGCTTAGCTTTTCCTGTTTTTGGTTAATTCTTTCCCTAGGGTTGGGTTGGTCAGGTGTCGGCCTATATATCCTCCCCCTTTCCTTCTCCTTAGTCAGTCTGGTGTTGACAAAGGCTTTGACAAGCCGAAACGTTCACCTCATTTCATATTTCTCTGTTGATTTTCCGCATAAAATGATCAGTGTTTTGTGATCGTCAATTGCATATATATATATATATATATATATATATATATATATATATATATATATATATATATATATATATATATATATATATATATATATTATATATATAATATATATAATAATTTTTTGGGGGGAGGGGGATTCTGGGTTCATTAAAGAATTCGGGTGAACTGTTCTATTAGCAAAATCTCATGCTATTTGGAGGTTTCAGTTACTTTGAGGTCTAGATTTTGGAGATTGCTCGGTATAATTATTACGTCTTCAGATTTTAAAATGTATTGCTATGATAATCATTGTACTGTTTAAATTTATAATAAGAACCAATTTTTTTATTAGAATGAGTAAAGTGAAGGCAGTATTCTATTATAGGTCCTGTTGGAGTGAGCTGTGGTTACAATGCTGGTATGGCAAGCCAACAAGGACCACCCATCTCCCAGCTTTTGGATTTGGATTCTCAGAAGTGCATTGATCAGAATCCAATTGAATTGGATATAAATAATATCAACTCTGCAGAGTTACGGTCTCTGCTGCCTAGTGAGAATGATTTTAATGCATCGATGGTGGATGCACATCTATCTGAGAATCTCTCGTCCAATCTCAACATTATCGATCATCCTCTACCACCCAACAAGCTAAGCAGTAAAACTAGTTTGAATTTAGGTGCATCTGGTCCCTACATGATGAACATTCCTCCACCACTTAAACAAGAGACTGGTGGCCCATCTGGCTCTGATAGCTTAAATAACCTCAAAAGTGAAATTGAACTTCTCAATCAGCTCTCTTCAGCACACTGATATTATGTTTACAACTTTTTTATTTTTGTATATGATTGATACCTTAAAAAGGTTTCAATTAAATTCCTATGCCAGAGACATTACACAAAATAGTTATTTAGCATTGTGTAGAAATAATTTGCTACCTAAGATTTTTACTTAAATATGTGAATTTGTCTTAATGCAAGGGTCCAAGATTATGTACTTTGGCAGTGGCATGTTGACACTTTGTTGACATCATAGTGGCCATGATATCAGCAGTCACCATGCTGGGATGTTAGGCATTACATCAAAGATATACAGTACAGTGCATAAAAAGAATGAGAAGAGAGTAACGGTGTTAAACTGCATGAGAAGAGATGCGAGTTTGTCCGGCTGCTGTTGCACACAAGAGAGGTGAAAGTTGCAGTTTATGGTATTCACGGTACATTTGTTGAAGCAGATGTTTGAATCAAACTGTAGTGTATTTCTAGAATGTGTGTGAAGATTACCAACTGCTTTAACCTAAACTCGGCAGCAGTCAGCCAGTGTTTGACTAAAGAGGTCACTCCAAACATATCATTTGCTACTATTTTCCAGTTGCAATAAGGCTTAAATTTGTTCATATTTTTTAATTCACACAAGGATATTCTTTGGTACAAAATCTATTTTAAAAATGAGCTCAAATACTGTCTAATTTGCACAGAATCAAGTGGGCTATGCTTTGGTGCGCAACGTTGACTTTACATATAGACGTAGAAATTGTAAAATTAATATTTTGTATATAATTATCAGGAAATAAGTCTAACTTAATTCCTGGTTTGCATTATCTGATATTAGAGAGAGTAGAACCTTGTACTCGAGGTATTGTGCGTGTCACAATGTGTGTACTCAATGTTGAGTAGGACGTTCTTCCGCTGTAGCCTGCATCAGGTGAGATTTCTTTTGCAGTCTTACAGTTGATATTTTATTTTTGGGTTGCATGATTGTCATTATTTGTGTTTACATTTATATATATTTTTTATTGTTATTATCATATGCACTTTGGAAAACTGTGTTCTATTTTAATTGCTCTAATCTAAACACAACAGCATTGTGTCATTCTTAAGAAATAAGCTTTTAAATGTTTTTTTTATAAATATCTTCATTGAATTCAGTTGATCAAGAGATGGTAGTTTTATATTTCAGATTTTATTTACAATTTTATGGAAAAATATGTATATATGTTTATAAGTTGAATTTTACAGAATGCTCGATGAAAGAATGTTCATTCCCCCCCCCTTCCCCCTTCCCCTCCCATTAACAGTGCATGAAGCAAAACAGGACATTTTAAATGTCAACATCAGCTTTAAACAAGTTACTTTATATATATTATAAACTAAATTAAAAAGTATAAATTATAAAATTATATATATCATTTTATATTCAATAAAAATTAATATTCAAAAAGTTATCAGAAAACTATGTACAAATAAAAGAGTTATATACACAAAAGAAGAGTAATAAAATAACTACACACTTAGAGAAGAGGACAATTAGTGTATAAACAACTAAGTCGGTGACTTGGAGCTCTTCAACTCGGGCATCATTTTAAAATCAAAATATTTTCTAAAATGTTGAATTCAAGGTAAATGAACTACAAGACAGAACAGCTAAATTGTTGTAAGTGAAAGTGTGGCCTTTATCCTCGCTATTAAGTCCATGGCTCGAGACTCTTAGAGCCCGGGTGAATGGAATCCTCGCGTTGTTCTCTAATAGCAGAGGATGCACATTACCTAAGAGCAGACCAGTATGGTAAGAGATACCTGTATGTTCACTATCATGTTGTTTAAAGTTTGGCGAGGTATTTCTACCTAAGAGGCAGACCAGTATGGTAAGAGATACCCGTATGTTCACTATCATGTTGTTTAAAGTTTGGCGAGGTATTTCCCACATGTCAAATCTGTTTCAATGTTTGAATGTTATATTTAGATATGTTTAAATGTTTGAACTGTAACGTTTGACATGTGGGAAATACCTCTCGAAACATTAAACAACGCATTTGTGAACATACGGGTATCTTACTGTACTGGTCTGCCTTTTAGGCAATGTGCATCCTCTGCTATGGGAGAACGTAGTAAGGATAAAGGCCACCCTTTCACTTATAGCAATTTTGCTGTTCTGTCTTACAGTTCATTCACCTTGAATTCAAAATTTTAGAAAATGTTTTGATTTTAAAATGAAGCCTGAGTTGTCACAATATTAATTTTTATTGTATATTTAATTTTAATATACTTTATATTAATTGGTTTTAGCTAAATTTGGATGTAAATATTTTCTTTTTAGTACTGATGATGTTTTGTAATCTGAAACATCTATTTTATATAAATTGAAGAATATGTATTATCATTTTGCTATCATACTGGTTATGATAAGCTTAAAATTCCCAAGAGGGAACCCATTTCTGAAAAAATTTATATAATATATATATATATATATATATACAGTAAGTGTGTGTGTGTGTGTATATATATATATATATATATATATATATATATATATATATATATATATATATATATATATATATATATATATATATATATAAATAATATTTTTACCTGTATATATAAGATAGATGTTTCCTTCTGGAATCAGAATTTCAAAATAAATATGAAAGCCATTGATATAATAAATATCTTGTGTTTATAAACATAATATAACAAGCTGTTTATTTTATCAATGGTTTTCCTATATATTTTGAAATTAGGATCTTGAAGGGAACATCTATCACATATATATATATATATATATATATATATATATATATATATATATATATATATATATATATATATATATATATATTATATATATATATATATATATAATATGAAGTCAATATTACTTTCCATCATATGTGGCTTGGCATAATTAGTTGTCTATCTTAGATACATCCTGAGTGGCTATTGGCTACTCATAAGTATGTGTAGTATGTGTGCGCGCGCGTGTGGAGAAAGTGTAGATGATGGAGAGTGGCTTCCTTATTTGAAATCTTATGGACAACACCTAATGATTTGATTTGTAAGCTTAACATAAACTCATCTGGATGTAAGTGAGTTAAGTGATACAAAATAAGGATTATGATTTTCACTTAATGTGAAGGTATATTTATACACTGCAGTAAATGCAGTTATGCACCATTCCTTCATTTCTATGGTAATTATATAATTGAGGGAATGCATCTTACTTTAACTACACTACTTATGCTCATTTGTGATTGTCCTTAAAGTTGCATATTAAACATTACAAGTCTTTATATAGCACTTAGTTAAAATTGCAATCACTTTATCTTAATTGGCAATGTTAATTTAAAAAATATATATATAATATATAAAAATGCCAGGAAATTGAACCTGGTGTTCATACAGTATTTATAATTCATTTTAGCAAGAATTTTTCGGATGATGAAAGCTTAATATTTTAATGGAAGGAGAATTTGTTTATCATCACTGTCAAAGTTTTGTTGGTAACACAAAAATTATATAATTCTAAAACTGAAGCTCAGGGGATTGAAACAACAAATGTTAATCACTAACTTGTTGTTTGAGGCCAAGATGAGGTGAAGTGTGGTAGAGAAGAATGTGGGGGACTGTGTAACTGTGTTGCTATCCTTGGTGAAGCCACTACCTTTGATATTGTTTACCTTGTATTTACTATTTGTGCCTGCAGAATAGAGCTATTAGCTCTTGGACTCTGCCTTTCTAACCATCTATTTTTTCCTCTTATTATGTCTACTGCATGTATTTCTCTTTAACAAATGCCCACACACACACATCGCCAGGAAGTAGCCCGTAGCAGCTGTCTGACTCCCAGGTACCTATTTACTGCTAGGTAAATAAGGCAGGTGAAAGAAATTCAGCCCATTGGTTTCTGCCTTGGACGGGAATCGAACCCAGGCCCTCAGGACAACTACCCCCGAGAACTGTCCACTCAGTTGTGAGGTCCTTTTGTTCTTGTATTAGAAACCTGAGTGATAGCTCCTTTTGAATATCCTGTAAGACAGAGTACTACTTATTCTTCCTGGCTTGGTGCCTTCTTTTGATAATTTCTTATTGTACAAGGATCTCTACGTCTGAGATTTGTGCTATGACTTTTACTCGAAGCGTGTCATTCTTCGTCCTTCTTTGTCACTTTGTGGTCACCCCATTGTGTACAAGGATTCTGCTAAGCTTTTGGGGTTGATTTTTGACACTCGTTTGTCTTGGTCGCCCCATATCTCTTACCTCTGTGTTGAATGCTCTAAGGCCCTTACCCTCCTATTGTCCCATACTTCTTGGGGAGCAGATAGGCGCGCACTACTCGCTTTACATTCCTCTCTCGTCCTGTCTAAGCTCGATTATGGTTGCCCTGCTTACTCGTCTGCTTCTCCTTCTATTTTTCACCGTCTTGATGCTTTGCACCATACTGGGTTGTGCCTCAGTTCTGGTGCCTTTCGTTCGACTCCCGTCCTCAGCTTGTATGTTGACACTGGCTTCCTGTCCCTCCAGGACCGTCGTGATTGCTACTGTCTTCGCTATCTTGCGTGGTCCTTGCAACATCCTTCCTCTCACCTCTCGTCTTTTAACTTTTGCCCCTCCTGTAGTGCCTGTTCCTCTTCACCACCTCCCTCTTTCTATCCGGTTATCTCGCTTACAGGATTCCCTTTCAGTTCGTATTTCTAATATTTCTCCTCGTGTTGTTCCTTCTTTGCCCCCGTGGAGAGTCCCCCTTCCGCAGTTTTGTACATCCTTGACCCGCATCACTAAAGCTTCTACCCCTCCTATGGTTCTAAAATGCCTTTTCCTTGAGCACTTTTCTTCTCACTCCCGCTCCATTTCCGTCTTCACCGATGGGTCTAAGTCTGCGGATGGTGTAGGCTACTCTGTTGTTTTTCCTGGTTGCACTTATATGGGTCGCTTACCTCCGGAGACTAGCATCGTCACAGCGGAACTTTATGCTATTCTCTATGCTATCGTCGTCTCCTGCTTTCTCGTTGTCAATCTTCCTTTGTAGTTGTTGTTGATTCTTGTAGTGCCCTCATAGCTCTTGGGTCCTTTAATCCGGTTCATCCAGTGGTTGTAGAGATCCAGCATTGGCTGTTTCTTGTTCACAGTAAATTTAAGTCGGTTGAGTTTTGCTGGGTTCCCAGCCATATTGGTGTCTTTAAATGAGCGTGCGGATGCTGTCGCCAGAGAAGCTGTCCTCTCTTGTCCCATCTCTCGTAAAGGTATTCCTTATTCCGACTTTTGCCTGGTTATCCATTCCACCATCCTTATCTGTTGGCAGGCTTGTTGGTCTTCTGTTACTGATAACAAACTGCGTACTCTTAAGAGCTGTATGTCTTTGTGGCCGTCCTCCTACCACCGTAACCGGCGATGGGAAACAGCTCTGGCGAGGTTGCATATTGGCCATACTCGCTTAACTCATGGTCACTTGATGGAACGCCGTCCTGCTCCTTATTGTCCAAATTGCATTGTCCCTCTTATGGTCATACATATCCTTGTTGAATGTCCTGACCTCCAGGATGAGTATGTATCTTGTTTTCCGACCGTCCCCCGCGGTTGCTTGTCCCTCGATAGTATTCTTGGTGACTCGGATACTTTTGATATCGTTCGCCTTGTGCGTTTCTGTTCTCATATTGGCATCCTTGGTGATATTTAGCGCCCTCTGATTATCCCGCACCTTTGATGGTGCTACATAGCCTTCCTGGTTTGGTGCCTTCTTTTGATAATTACTTACTATTATATAAGGAGTAGCAATACAGTAAATATGGGTTATTGAATCTTAGACCCCCAATTTAATGTGTGAGTTATGCAGGACTCCTTTGCATAATTGTGATTTGGTGATATTGTAGTTGGAGTTATAGCCACAGGGCATTACAAGTGTCAAGTTGTATCATTTAATATTTCAACCTGCATTAACATCCAGTATGAATATTTTCACTGCAAGTCATTTCTTATCACACTCTATCACAGGCTTTATTATTTGAA